TCCCGGGAATTCTTGGTAGCATAGATTGTATGTATTGGAAGTGAAACAACTGTCCATTTTCTTGGCAAGGGCAGTACAAGGGGCATGTGAAAGGTTGCACTGTCATACTTGAAGCGGTGGCTTCACAAGATCTTTGGATATGGCACTCTTTTTTCGACATGGTTGGTTCTCACAATGATATCGATGTGCTTTAACGTTCTTCCGTGTTTGCAAGGCTTGTAGATGGCTACAACCCTGAGGTCAATTTTAAGATCAATGGTCACCATTACAAGAAGGGATACTACCTAGCTCATGGTATTTATCCTCAGTGGTTAACTCTTGTGAAGACAATATCCAATCCGGAAGCAGAGAAGAAACAGAGATTTGCCCAAGCGTAAGAGAGTGATAGGAAAAACATGGAGCATGATTTTGGCGTGCTTCAATCTCGATGGGGTATTGTTCGCCACTCTGACCTGACATGGAGCACCGAGAAGCTTTCGGAGGTGATCACTGCTTGTGTAATCATGCACATCATGATTGTAAAGGATGCGCATGATAACAACATCTACGGCCGAGGGTTTGAATATCAGGATGAAAATGTTGTGCCTGAGCACCAAGAACCGGCAAAATTTGAACAGTTCAACAAATTTCATCGTGAAATGCGTGATTGGCATACTCATATGCAACTCCAAAATGACTTGGTTGAGAACATGTGGAATCACATTGGAAACCAATAGATGTACCGGTTCATTTTTATTTCCATGTATTCGTGACAATTTAAATTTGGTTGTAAACTTTGTGTTCTTTATTCGGTTGTACAACTATTTATTATTATGGAATTATGTGATATATTTGGTAGTAAACTTATATGAAATGTTTCATATTTGTAAAATTTGGCCGCCGGCCGGCTGGGGACGGACCAAATGCGTCGGCTGTGTTGAATACACTAGGCAACGCGTCCGCAAAAAATACCGGACAACACCTCTTTGCCCGATCCAAACGGACAAAATCTGGATAAAACGGACATCGCCTGATGGAGTTGGCCTAACTCAGCCAAATTAAAGGCGCACGTGTCCATTTCAAACTTGTCTATACTACATGTTTCCTCCATTTTTATATACAAGGCCACAAACTCATATTACAGGTATCAAGGTAAAATTGAATGTCTTGTCTTGTAAACATGCTTTTCTTTTCCTTTAGTGGGACCATTAATTAATACACCACATGCATGCAAGGAAGAGATAGGAAGTTGATTGGAGTGTCATTATGATTACATGCATGCAAGTATTAAATAGGTTGCTAGTTCGAGGAAATATCATTAAGTTTTGTCTCGATTACTGTTGGTGGCCTTATATAGATGCAAAGTGTATTTTTTATAGTGGCCTTGTATAAGTAAATGGAGGGAGTACCATGTTTAGCTGAGTGATCGAAAGCGTAATCCTCCATCACAACCAGGAACCCAGTTTTGTAAACTCTGAATTAAGTTGTTTTGAATAGAGCTGCATGCTACAGCCGCACTTTGGTTGGTAATAGTGACACTGAGCACTTTTGTTGGTAGGACATCTTTAAGGCGGCCCAAACCTCCCACAAACGTGGTCCGGACCTCGCTGTCCGGACCGCGGAAGCCATCCAACGCGGTCCTCTATTGATCCACGGGACAATCCGGACACAATTATTTTCATAAACCGAAGACAAACATGGGGAGGTTTACGGGAGTCTGGATCAATCCCACACCCGTTTTTGACTGTCTTGGCCCATCAAAACCCCACCTTCCTTGCCCCCGCGCACGTTCCCGTCCGGCTCCAGCTGCCGCTGAAGAGCGCGCCGCTCAACATTGAAGACGGCTGAAGGTGGGCGCGGCCTCTCACTCCCTCAGCCACTGAAGTGGCGTGCCGGCCGATGGTGCTGCCCGCGACACATCTCCGGTGTCTGTGCTTGTTCAATGCCGGAGACGATGGGACAGACATCTACAACGCTCGTTCAATGTCGCTGTCCGTCCGTATGCCGCCATTAAGAAGGCTCGCCGACCGAGAAACCCACTCCGGCACCGTGCATTGACGCACCCGGATGCCTCGCCTCACCGGAATCCGCTATATAAAGACGGCCACACCCGGCTAACTCCACACCACAACACAAGCCCCTCCACATCCTCCTCCCTTGCATTGCATCCGCCATGACCGCCAACGGGAAAGCACTATGGGACAGTCTGTCATCGGAGATGAAGCACGTGGTGGACGCCCTTGCCGCCGCCTAGCATAGCCGCCGTGCTAGGAAGATTGAGGCCGGCTTGCCTGCAAGCTCATCCGAGGTCTTCGACGATGAGGACGACACCATGATGGAGACGGGCTCCGACGACTCCACCCCAGCTCCCGCGCCTCCTGTGCACGTCAGCTTCATCATGGAGCAGGCGCAGGCGCACTTCAACGCCGCCATGGCGGAGGTGCAGCCCATGTCGGTGTTCCAGCAGGCACAAGAGGAACAATGGTACAACCTGTTCCTCCTGGAGCAGCACCGGCTGGCGGAGGGCCAAATCTACGGCGACCACGCGAGCGAGGAGGCCGTGGCAGCCATGGCCATGACGAACCCAAATTTCGTCGCGGAGCAGCGTGCCATCTATGATGTCGTCCGCACTGAAGCCACCGCTCGCCTGGAAGTGGCAGTCGCAAAGGCGCAGCTGCAGGCGATCACGGAGGTGAACAACGCCAGCTGCGCCTCCGACGAACCATCAGCAGGCCCGGCGGGACAACGACAGTGTCGGCGCCACCATTTCCCTCGTGGACCTCACGTCCACCGGCGATGGACAAGGCGCGGACTCCTCCGAGGATGAGTAGGCCATGGGAGGTCCCATGTGGGCCGGTCCATTTCCCGTGTTCTACTCTTCCTCGCCGGAGACCGCACCTTGACTTCATCGGTCTTATCGCCCGATGCTCATGGACACGGCGGAAGGAGGACGTCACGGACTTGGACGCCGGGTGCTCCTGCAGTAGGATAGGTTTAGGGGTGAGTCTTTTTTTTTTTTCTAAATGTTCGAAATGTAATTAATTCCCCCGTGTTTATATGAAAATCCGTCATGTTTGTATGAATCCAGCTGTGTTTGCATTAATTTCATCCGGTTTGCTGAAAAAGAGTTTGAAATGTATGCAGCTAGCGTTGGATGGCGTCCTTCTGCATCCGTGTCCGCGGGCTCGTCCTTCACTGTCCGCGGACGGATGCGGGTAGATTTTTGCGGCCCTAACATTAAGAACCAGGCCTTGCCTCTGCCTAACTTGTGGGCCAGTGATCACTGTCCTTTCGACACGCTCAAGCTCAGTTTAAACGCAAGAATTCAGGCTGGTAATAGACATGATGGGACGGTGACCTAAGTTTTGCTTGAGCGCATCGAGGAAGGACAACGCGAGTTAAGGACCGTACTGGCGTGGGCCAATGCTCCTAGCCCTTGGTGTCCTTTGACAGATATTTGACACAGGCCAGAGTACATCTCTACTTAACTCTACCTGACCTGCGCACATACCAGCTCAGTTGGATCTCATCTTCTCTCCACTCGACTCCACTCCTCTTCACTGCATTTCGTTTCACTCCACTCAAAGCTTGAAGACGTACGGCCGCCATGCATGCCAAGGTTTGGAGCCTTCCTCCTCGTTTCTCCTTTAACTTCCCGAGAAATGGCATTCATTCTTCTCCGCCTTGCTGCAGCCATCTCCCGACGCTTGATCCGTGGTGACTCCAGCTGGAGCAAGCCATCATCTTCCTGGTCAACGCCTGACCTTTGTGGTCAACCTAGCTTCGTCCAGGATTAAGGTGAGCCCATGGCCGTCCCTTGCATGAATCAGATTGGATCAGAGCATGTGATTTCTCTTCCCTTCTGTCATTTCCCCCCTTTTCTTTTCTTTCTGCTATTAATTATACCTTGCCGTCTCTTACCGAAAAGCACAAGGTAAACATGATCATGAGCATCATTAAGTCGTACTTCACGCTAATTTATCCTCACAAAGGAGATCATTAGTTTGGTGTGTGCAATATGAAACACCACAAGATCTTAATTTTTCGATTCATGCTTCGTGTTGCTCCGAATAGATCCCTTGCGGCCACGAAAGGAAGAAATGGTTTAGAGGAACGCAAGTAGATACTTTGTCGTTGCTAGCAAGGTGCCCATGCTACGTCACGGAATCGCAAGAAACAACGCCAAATTTGGTTTACTCAAAAGCCTTGTATGCTACTCTGGGAAGTGTCAAAAAAGTTGTTATACTATGGGACAGAGGGAGTAGCTTAGATAAGTTTCGGCAGTTGGCACTAATGGGATTACTGGTGGCAAACGTCAGGAGGTTATTGGGTGACGCAAGATGACACAACAAAGAGGGATTCGCGGAGGCTTTTTGCTAATGTATTTGTAGGTTCGGATTGTCCCCCCTATCAAAACTTTGAAGAGCAAGAATGGGAGATGAGTGAACGGACGAACACTAACTCCGGTCTTTATAAATAATAATAAAAAATACGAAAGATAGTTTTCTGGGTAATTGGAAATTCCATTTTGGAACCAACCACACGACACATCGAAGACCCAATTCGCCCTCTGTACAAGACCATGACTAGGCGAACCTCAGACGGGACATGATTGATTGAGCGTCCCTCCACACGATGTGTTTAGCCACTTACACATTATGTGAATCTGCAAAGGTGGTGAGGAGGTGAACTTGTCACCAAACGCGTCCTTGGCCGGAACCTTCGTCCTCCTCATGAAGTTGACTGTCGAAGGCAAGGCGAGCAATTATTGGTTGGGAAACATGAAATGAATAGCTTAATTGCTGTGGGATCTCTTTTTTTTTTTTGCCTAGTTCCTGCCTTGCATGCTGCAACAGCGTTAGCCCCTTGTTTGGTACAACAGTGCACACTCATAAGACCTAGCTTTGCTTACTACGTACAGTACTGAACTGAGCAGGCTGCATGCATGTTCTAATTAATTATCCCCGTGACTTGGATTGATGTGCAGTTCCTGTCAAGATCAGTTATCGTTTTCAGCTCGGATGGCTCAGAAAGTAGCTGACCTCCGCTGGAACGAAGTACGGTATATCAACTGCTATGCGCTGTTCATGGGGTACCTGCTGATGGCTGTTAGGGGGCTGGGCTTCCTCGTCATTACCTGGTCCACTGTCGTTCTCCTAGGCGGCTTCGTCTCCAATCTGGAGAAGAAGGACTTTTGGTCTCTCACAATCATTACCCTCGTCCTAACACCTCGGTAAGTCTCAATACTGTTCAATTTGCTCCCATCAGCCAGCTTTTTACAAGACATAAAAATATGGGAGGTATGTGTGAGGAAGTATCCTCTCAATGCTGTGAAGCCTACAATGCAATGTCTCCATTAATAGTTGCATAAATAATTACATTTACAAGGCATATAACCAACAAAGTTCTTACTTGATCAGGCAATTTCAATAGTTACTTCGAAGAGGCCTAGATGAGCATCTCCCACTTTAATATCGAAAAGATACAAGTATTGATGCAGGTTGCCGTTACACAAGAATGCTACATATGGAGAAAAAAAGTTGCAAGAGCATTTCGGTGCACATCTATGTGTGCCCGCCCATGATCGTCAGGAGATAGGATAGGGGACGATGAGAATTAGCAAAACGGGTTTACATGCAAAAATAGCTAAGTAGTATTGGAATATTTTTAAAGGTGCATAAACATGTGATGGGTGAAATATTTTTGAAGGTGAACATCTTGATTGGTTTTGTGTTAAATTTGATCGTAATGTGATAGTTAAATAGCGAGGCAGCCCTCGCAAATGTGAGGGCATCATGTTAGCAATCGCTACATGTCAGAAGGTGTAACATTGACCTTTATTTTGTATGTTAACATATGATTATGGTGCTAATACAAACCATAAAATAATTGTGAAATGATAATTTACAATAAAACTACTGTTATTATTTCTTCTAATAATATGTTTATATAGTTACGAGTGTTGGTTTACAAGTACACCAAGCAAACTACCCACAACTCTCATGCGCAATAGATTGATTGTCGCATGTTCTCGCATGGCTACAAAGAGTCATACAATTGAATCTATCTTTTAAAGAAAATTTTAATAAATAAATGGCCATCACACCCTTAAGCCTTCAATTCTAGTGAATTATGATTATTCAGGTAATTCTTTGTGGATGCTTATGTTGGTGCCTAATCATTAATCCATCATTTTTGTTGATCATACCAAACTTTTCTTTGTACATTGTCGATAGTATCAATTCTCTATGGATTATAGGATGATAAGAATGATATTTTAATTGACTATAACTTTTCTATACGGTTCCAATCATGTATCTATATGTAGCATCAGACTAGTATTGGTCTAGGAGGTAGCAACAAACATGTTTAAATCAAACATAACATGTAATTTTTTAGAGTAACATAACATGTACTGTCGTTTATTGTTAAACTATTAATTAACATGTGTAGCTATTTTTGTGTGCGATATATGTCTAACTATCACTATGATTATATATTAGTTGTGTTTTTTAGATATGATGATTTACCAGTTATATTTTGTAACATGATAAGAAAATTATTTTAGTTGACTATAACCTTTCTATATCTACTTGTCTACTTATCTAACCATTAGATTAGCATTGGTTTATGTGGTAAGAACTAACATGTTTAAACGAGAAGTAACATGTACTTGATATTTACCTTAAAAATACTTTATATGAGTACTAATAAGGGTTCAGTTGTTGTGCAATTGAGATGATCAATCAGTTTCATTTCTAATATAAAGATATACTAGTTATAATTTGTTTATGTACATTTGTGAAGACTTGTCATATGCGATCTTTTCAAAATGGTTTAAGAATGCATATGTAGATCTAACTGTTATGCCATATTTAGGTAAAATGATGAAGATCCAATATATGTGGTCTGCTAGGTATAACTATTTAGACGCGATTAAATCTAGTTGATACGTTATATTTCAGTGCGGTTATGTGGATCTAACAGTGTGATCTGCTTAGTACATTCTAAAGATCAAATAGATGACATCCGCTTTTGTACAATTATGTAATTTAATGAGTATGGTATGTTTAGGTACGTTTATGTAACTTGATGGATGTTATCTATTAAATTACAAATCCAACGGCTGAAGTAATTTTGATGATGTGGATCAATGTGGCACCTTGAAAAAGTATTGTATTTTGCTTTTAGTGACGATAAGAAGAACATTTTAGTTGACTACAACTTCTCAGTAGTCGCTCATGTATCTATTATTGTATTATATTAGCATCTGTGTATACGGTCGGTATACTACTATGTTTAAATTAGTCGTAACATGTATTTATTAGTTATGGTTAAACTAATATTAACATGTCTACTTTTTTTATGTGCGATTTCTATTGATGTGCAACCGTGACAATCCATCTGTTGTGATTTCTATATGAAGATTAATCACTTATAATTTGTATAGATATAGTTGTTAGAAAGATATAGCATATGCGATCATTTTAGAATTGTTATTTAAATATAACACTTATGATCTATTTAGATACACCGAAATAAAGTTCTAATGAAATGATTCACTTCGGTACGTCATGTGGATGTAACATACAATGTATGGTTAGACGTGCTTATATAGATCTAGTGGATAAATCTAATGATTATGATATGTTTAGCATAATGATGAAGATATAATGTATGCGATATTTAGGTATAACTATGCCTCGACTTCCTCCACCCCAATGTGTCCCCATGCAGCATGACTCTCCTCCAACTCATGCTCATTGGCTATTCCACCCTCTACGGCACGCCCATCGACCTGGCATGCATCCTCCTCGTGCGACATCGCCTCGATTGGTAACCCCGCATCGCTAGTTAACCTTTCCACACGTCCTGGCCATGTGACACATCCCTACGTCAGCTCTCGCTATGTCGGGGTTGGGCTCGTCTGGCCATCTTCCACCTATGCCCATGCCGGACCATGCCGCTAGTGTATCACCAGTGGTACTTGCTGGGAACTGACCTCGCAAGCCCCCCTTCCAGTGCCCCTTGTCCCCTGAGCAGCGTGCTCCGTGTGCCCTATCCTTCTTCCGTGGCTAAGATCTCTTACCATTCACCCCTCCTTAGATTGAAACACACACCTAACGCGGATGTTCTTCCTTCTGCCACCTTCGGCTCCCCTGCAACAACTTTCCATGTTAGTGTTTTTCTTGCAAAAGCTCTACGACCGCGGCACCTATGGGTGTTGCTCACTTTTCTGAAGGCGTTGCATGGAATCCCTTCTACTGCTGCGCACTAGAGTGTTAACTACCTTCGGCTTTCTATCCTTCGTTTGACATGTTCCTCCAAAGCCGGGTTAGTGATGCATTGTTCTCCATTTTCTCGTGGCATTATTCCCTCCTTCTAGGCTTTCTCCCTCCAGAGGGCAAGAAGAGCACTTCTACACGTGTACCATGTGATTCTTCTCGATGGGCCTAATGCAGACAGACGGTGAAGCTTGGAGTGAAGGATGATGTGTTTGATGTGCGTTGGCAGAAGTGGTTCACTCGTTCTATGAAGCCATGCATGTGGTTTCTCTCGGTCCGTGACCATAGGTGTTGCTTCTATGTTGTATCTTTGTATAATGTGCTGCCTCGACAACATCCCTCTTTTACTGATGGTGCTTGTATGTGCTTGTACTTGGTGTCTTTTTTTGTGCATTCTTGCTTCAACAAGAAGTAGTACCACTGGGGATGTTAACGTTTTCTATCTGGTTTCCATATAAACTAGACCAATCTATTTTTGGAATGCGATTTTATTCAGGTGGGGATTTCTCCACCGCCACATGTGGCTATTTAAAAAAAAAATAGCACATGAAAAAATAGCTAAGCAGGAAGGAACTATTTTTAAAGGCGTGCAAGTACATGATAGGTGGAATCATTTTAAAGGTGAACACCTTGAGAGGTTCGTGTTAAATTTTATTATGCTATGTATTTTACTAGAATATAGGAATTGGAAATTACGAAGAGTTAGATATCGAGCTTCCCATGCAATCATGAACTCTGAAATGCCTCGTCTATGAAGAATCCCAGTGCTGGGCCCTGCTGAATATTGTGAGCAACTAAGAATGTAACTTGTGTGTCAACGTTTGATTAGATGCGTTCATGGTGATCAATATATAGAATGAACTTAAAAAGGTACGTGAGGTTAATGGTGGGATGCATTTCTTGTTTTGTAGGATTTTCTAGCAATCTTTTGTTTTCCTAAAATATGATCTATTATTTTTAATACTATTTATTAGATACACGTGGCTATGCGCTGCTACATATTAGACTACATGTGTTTTGTATCTGTATTTAAAAAGTTGTATTCACTCTGTGGATATAGCTAATATTTATGATTAATTTGTGCGGTTATAATATAGGCCATTGAAATGAACCATGGAGATAATCAAGCACTTATAGAAGCTAAATTTAACCCTTTCTAAATAATGACATACTCCCTCCATCCCATAATGCAAGACGTTTCTTGACATGAGATACTGGAAAGTGAACACGAGTTTAGGACATTATAGAATAATTTTTATATATTGCAGGAAAATTCACAAAAACACTTAGTGTGAAATAGGCTTTTGTCTAAACATTGTGTCAAGTTGTGAAAGTCAAGAAAATTATCGAAAAATCAATATAGGCTTTAGAAATATCCCAATAGGTTTAGAGAAGGTCAATATAATACTTAATCCGGTGCATGAATGATCATGTAAGTTAGTCATATTATTTGGCTTTGCGGAGTGCACCATTTTGTCATGTCACTTGACATCATCTACTGCTCTAACTAGAAATTATGTCCAGGGTCTCTGCTGATGTCGGTCTGAAGGGGAAGTTAAGATATATTGGTTATTCGATATTGGGCCTCACTCATGCTATAGTTGCCACGCTGAACCCAAACGGTACTAAAGACACCTGGCCACGCCGACTTCTAGCAGCTGTTGTGTTGCTGTGTCACCTGCTGGTGGGCCCTATAGTAGTGTGCCCACTAGCGGCTCTCTACATGTGTGGGCCGCTGTTCAGCGCCGGGATTTCAGCGTGGCGTCTCATAGAACATGATTACGTCGTCCCCAAGAAGGAAGAACATACACACCTGCAGCCAGCGCTGATTGTCTTGTACTCTTTGGCTATGTTGCAGGGTTTCCTCTTCTGTTACAGGTCTTGTCATATTTCTTCTTTTCGATAACCGGAATTTTATTGACTCGGCGCGATACAAACCGCACCGAGTAAACATCTGATCTTTTGTTCCTAATAAATCAAAAAAAAATGTGATATTCTGTTACAGGTTTTACTCCTCTTTTGCGCGAGAGGACCTAGTGAACGACGTGGCGGAAGAGTACAAGATGAACAACATCAAAGAGGCTGTGGAGGAATACCTGCGTGAGACGGTGAACAAGTGCGAGAAGGACCCAGCATTCTTCAAGGAAACAAACCTGGCGACATATGCTGTGGGAATGATCAAGTCTGAATCATCTGAAAGCTTCCTTTCCGGGGCAAAGATTCTGGACGCGCTGTTGGAGCACGCGCCCACAGTCACAGCAGAGGAGCGCACACTCACAGCAGAGCTCATCAGTTTGGTGGCGTCCTCTAGCCATGTACTCGAGAAGCTGCTGCAGGCGCTGGATTCCACAAGCCCATACGGCGAGACGATTAGGGTGGTTGCTGCCAACATAGTGACGCACCTTGCCAGCAGGATTCCTCTGATGCAATTCCCGCAAGGGATCCAGCGCATAGGCTCGCTCATCGACATCTCTCAGCAGCAATTCGAAGATGACTGGCGTAACGACTACAAGAAGCTCATGGAGAACGGCTTCGTTATCCTCCGCAAGCTCGCTGCCGACGAGGACAACTGCAGAACCATAAGCAACGCCCAGGGCCTGCTCTCCAAGGTCTTGGCGCCGGTAAGCTCCGACCTGCTCCACCTCATCGACCACGAGGCATGGTCGACCACCATCGCAGCCGCGTCGCTGCAAGTCATGTGCCGCCTCGTGGCTGCTCCGGGAGAGACTGGCGCTAGGCTGCGTAGACAAATCTCAAGCGACAAGGAAGCGATCCATGGCATGGAGAGGATCCTAAGGTGCTGTGGATGCAGTGAACATGTTCGCATATTAACCATTCAGATTCTCACGCACCTAGCCATGGGCATGGATGAGGAGTCTGTGCGTGTGAACAAGGAAAGCAGAGAAAATTTTATCAAGATGCTCCCTTCCATTTTCACCGATGAAGCCAAAGACTGCTCCATTAGGAAATTGGCAGGTGAAGCACTGTTGAAGCTAAGTCAAAGCGAAAACAATGCTGCCATCATCTTGAAGGCAAATGATCATGTTGTCCGCGATCTCAGTAAAATCCTCCTTTTAGGTGCTGCGCCCAAGAGCACAAATCGAATTATGGCAGCTAAAACACTCAAGCATCTCTACGTTCATTACAAAGAGAATGATGAGTATCTCAGGGCACTCAAGGAAACCATGGAGGACGTGATGCCAAAGGTACGTTATCAAATACTACCTCTGCATCATCATAATATGAGACATGTTTTGACACTAATGACAGTGTCAAAAAACAACTTTTATTAAGTTACAGAGGGAGTGCTACATACATTTTTTTTGTTTTATTTTGATTTTCCCCCAACAGACTATTAACTAAACATGCATACTCTTAAATTCGCAGATTCTCCGAGAAATATTACCCCCTGTTGTGCTGAATGGAAACGATACACTAGCAGAAAACAGAACATATGGACAAAGTTCTCCTTTGCAAAGCCCCACTGACATAGAAGCCCAAGTTCGTGCTCCACAAGATGACGGCCGTAGCAACAACAATTCAACTTGTCAGCAAAATGATGACAAGAAATTGCACGCAGCTCTATTATCTCTTGCTATGGCAATATTTGACAAATTGATCACCCAAGATCATAATTTGGCTCAACTGGTCGATAAAATTTCTCCTGGAGATTCTCCAACGAGCTTTGCCAATAAGCTCAACGAGATTGTGCGGACAAAGAGTCAGCCCATGGCAAGTTGCTTGAGCATGATGAGGAATGCCAGCAAGATGGTCATATCAATGATGAAACACAGTGACAGCTACCTCAAAGAACACTTCTTGATGATCTTCATCCAATCTTTGTCCGATGCTTGCAAGGCCATGTCATGTATCGAGAGCTCTATGATTTTATATAGTGCCAATCGTGGCCCAGTGAAGCCTCACAAGACTCTCACTTCTCTACTGAAAGAAGCACAGGAACTTGTAGGCTCAAAGGAGCCAAAAGAGCGGTGAACTACACGAGCCATGTCTGTCCATGGAGGCCAGCTGATTGGTTGGAATAATTCGACGGATCGGATGAAAAATGAAGTAGACAGAACCATCTGCAGTATGTTTGCAGAGACTGTATGACCTCTGGGTTGGAACTGCTATTGTTCTTTGTATGTGTGTCTGAACCCTGTTATCCTATGCTATCATTTCTGAACTGCGAAGTTAAACGACTACTAGTGCCAATATTTCAGCACCCCTGTGAAGCTAAGCAAAGGGGCATTATCTTCAATAGAACTGTTTACTCTTATTTGCGTCTTAGATAACAACTTTCCTTTTGGCGATTTGTACCATGACATTTTTATGCGCGCAATACAAAGTGTGTTATTTTTTTTAGAACGAAGGCTCAAGAAGAGCCCGGCTTTGAATTAACAAAGCCATCAACCGGCCAGGAATACAAGAAACAAGAACACCACACCACATCGGCCAAACGATACAAGGGGGCTGCAAGAACAGCTTACAACGCTACTCTAACAACCAGCAAACAGAAGATGAACTATGAAGAACTGCTAGTTGAGGATAAGCCCCACTACAACAGGGCACCAATATGGCTACAAGTGCAGCCTCGAGGAGCACCGGCAAGGAATCGAACACAGGGAGGAAACCAGCAGATGAGATGATCCAAACACTTGCCCTCTCTAACATCGAAAGGGATCCCTTCCCCTCGCCTAGGCTCGAAGGCGCCGCACCGTCGAATGAAGAGACGCTCACCCGAGAGCTTGAGCAAAGGTTGGTCTCGAGACTGGGCCCGCCACGAAGCACGACCACAGGTCGGAGCACACACAACAGCAACACCGCAGACACCGAAGGCGGCCAATCGTAGAGGGTAAGCCGCCGGAAGAGTTGCCGGAGTGAAGGAGCTACCGAGCCACAGGGACTCGATGGACACCAGCCGCCCACCTACCAGCTGCTGCACGCAACCCCAAAGCGCCAATCTTCCCTAGGCGGCGCCTCCAAGAAGGGCACGACGCACCTGGCGCCGCCGCCGCCCATCCAACAGGGATTCGAGCTTTCGCCCGGGAGCCTTGGCCGGGGTGTGGAGAGGAGCCCACAACGGCGACTCCAGGGAGTAGAACGACGCCAAAAGGCGCCGCCGCCGCCGTGCTGGAGAAGACCAAACAGGGGTTTCCCTCGGGCTCGACCCACAACACCAGTTTGGGGTGCACCCCGCCGGCACCGGATCCAGCGGCCAGAGGCCCCAAATCGACCAAGCCAGCGGAGGCAGAGAGCAGAGAGGGGAGAGGAGAGCCAGACCTTCAGATCTGGAGCGGAGGGAGGATGACCTCGCCGCCCCACGGCCGCAATCCGCCAGCTCCTCGCCGCCCAAGCAGCCGAGGAAGCCGGCCCGCACCACCCGCGCACGCCGCCAGCCGGAGACGGCGCCGCCTCGCCGCCAAGGCCGCCGCCCTGGATCCGGAGTCCTTCTCGAGAGAGAAGCGATGAAGACCTCGCCGCCACCTTCATCGGCCGCCGCACAGGCGCTGCCCGGTGACCGCCTCGGGTGACGGCAAGGGAGGGAGGGAGGATGGAGAGGGGCGGCGCCGGGAAACCCTAGGCGCCCTCGAGCCGCCCTGGGGAGGGCAGCGCGAGGGAGGGGTGGAGTATCTCCAAAGTGTGTTATCTTCATAGAGGATTGCAAATTGAAACGGCGTAGAATTACAATAAGCTAAAACATAACCAGCAGAGAAGCTAAATAATGTTCACAATTGTTGGTGATGAATTTTTGTTCTTTGGGTTTCTAGGAGAGATACATGTGGAGGTGAAGGGAGGCGGAGGCAGGTGATTGTACTAGTTAGACAAGGAAGTACGGTAAATGCGTCTGCTGAAGGTTGCTGGAGAAGCAGAGATGAACGTAGAAGATAGTGACCGGGCGGCGCCATGCACTCCTCTTCCTTGTCTTCAATCCCTTACCGTTGCACTGCCAAGGCACCAACCTCGAAATATCCCAAACATGACTAATCCTCCCAACCACGGTCGCCTCAATCTGGCCTACAAGTGGGATGGAGAAAAGGATGTAAGGCAGATGCGGAGGAGGATGATTCTGGTGTTCTCTAAGAAAGGAAGTACCGTGGATGAGAAGGATTCTGGCCGGCGTCCTAGGGAAGGCTCGCCTGTTGGAGGCGCGAGATGGGCAGGTCCAGGCACTGCCTTCTTTTTTTTTCACGTTTTTTGTTTTTTGTCTACTTACAATTTTTTACTTTTCTTCATACTTCCAAATATTCTAAATTAATACATTTCAAAAACACTTTGCGTAAAAACGTTTGAAAAAAATGTTAACCAAGCATTTGGAAAATGTTGAATGCGTATAGACAAAATATTTCTCATGTATGCAAAACTGTCTATCATGTATACCGGAAAAAGAATTTAACCGAGCGTTTGAAAAATGTTGACCATGTACTAAAAAAATATTAATGTATTATGTTAAAAATGTTAATCAAGCATTTTTTTAAATGTTGACCATGTACGGGAAAAATGTTAATTTTGTATTTGAAAAATGCTAAATATGTAGTAGAAAATGTATTAAATATATAAAACAAAAAATGTACAATGTGTATGGAAAAAAGTAGACATAAAAAATGTTAACCATGTATTTAAAAAAATCTTTAACATGTATATAAAAAATGTTTCTGATGTATACGTAAAAATGTTTCTGATGTATATGTGTTGAACGAACAGATTAGTAAGCGAAGAAAGTCCGTGAAAAAACCAAAACAAGAGAAAAAAAGAAAACCATTGAAGAAATAGAGAAAACAGAAAGAAAAAGAAAAGCAACAAAATGGAAAAAACAAAAGGTAACCAGCGAAGGAACGGTTCAAACGCAGTGAGCCTAGAGCGAACAACGGGCCGGACCTGTACGGTAGCGAGCAGGGAAAACCTTCAGCGAGCCGGGCATACATCTTGCTATTAGCGAGATATAGCCCTGGTGGGAGTTCGAGGGGTTTTGATTTTATCATTATTTTTTTAGATGATGGAGTGTGTATGATTAGCCCAGGCTCTCTAGATCAAGTAAAAGTGTTGTAGTAGTCCACTATTTGCGACAACAACTAAGTTATGGGTAAACCTTATGGGATCCCCTTAAGGGTCTTTTTTGGTGAACTGAGAGCGTGCCAAGTAGCGTGTTAGGCGCTCCCTTGAGATTTTGTTTTATTTATTTTTATGTATGTTTTTTCGGAATTAGATGTTTTTTTTGTTTTCTTGGCTTTTCGGTTTTTGCCTGGTCTCCCTAGGTTCTGGACCAAAAAATTGATTTTTTTGCGTGAAGAGCGCACTTTTTTTCTTCCGCGAGAAAAACATGTTTTTTTCTTTCATGAGAGGGACAAATTTGCTTCTCGTGGAGGCATAGATTTGCTTTCGCGAGAGGCAATTTTCCCTCCCGCGGGAGGCAGAGTTGTGCCTCTCGCGGAAGCAAACCTGTGCCTTGAGGAGAAGCAAATTTGTGCCTCTCGGAAATGAAGAAACACACTTTTCTTTCTTTGCACATGTTTAAAATTGAAATTTATGTACTAGTTTCTGAACTATATATGTCCAAAAGAGAATCCATCTGAAACAACATTCAGTCATTTGTGATACCATCTTTAAAGTAGACGAGATAATATCCCACACATTTGGTGGAAAAACAGCTAATAAAAATTGTAGATGTGGACAACAAACAAAAACTTACTGAAAAAGGTCTGCAAAAACAACTTAACTAAAATTGTTATGGTAGTGATGTCCTGTTCGGTGTGACACCCATAATGATGTTTATATCATGATTTGTGGTATAGATGATGTAGAAAAGAAAAAAAAACAGAAGCGATGGATGGCGGATGTAATTCTATATACGTAAAAAGTTGATCCTCACTAACTCAATTATCGTGACATGCAACAATGTCAACTGATCATGCCACCATGCATGCACCACTAAATTTAATTCTCTCAACATGTAACTAAGCGAACTCACTGTACCACTATGCATAGGAAAAGACCCACCTTAATGCATTTTACTTACATTAAAAAAATCTACAACTACATAATAATCAAATATATTAAATTGTATAAATTTTCGTATTGCTAACCAGAATAATAAATTTTCAAACAGTCAAATCTCATAGAAATCACTCCATCCAACTTCAGTTACAACACGTGGGAATAGCTCTAGTTGTATAAAGAACGTAAAGCTGGCAAAAAAAATTCGGTTAGCTGAGCTAGCTAAACATTAAACAAACATCATTTAATTGTTCTTTCCGCTGTAGGCTGCACCCGTCAAATTTCATGCAACAGCTAAGAAAGACTGAAGTAATCTTAAAAAAACATAAAGATAGATGAAGGCCTCCTTTGGTTTATGGAAATTTTGTAAGAATTTTAAATGATAGGAATTTTGTTGGAAAAATTCCTTTGAAGCCCTTTGATTTGTAGGAATGAAATTTTATTCCTATGTAGGATAGGAATATATCATTCACATTTTAAAGGAAAAAAAATAGCCTAGAGCTAATGAAAAATTCTTCTCCTATGAACCAATTCCCGTCTCGTCTACTATAGATAATGTGGTACATGTAATCTCACTTTCTATGGTTGTCTTATTCCATGATATTCCTATCCCATGAACCAAAGGAGGCCTAACCAGGCCTCCACTGTGCTCATTTTACTATAAGTAGCACACTATCTTCACAATGTTTTGCTTGTTGTTCCCCTTCCTCCTGCATAACCAGACAAAACAAATAAAGCAACATGATTGATCTAGAAATTCTACTAAAGATCTAAAATATCCAAGCTCGCTGATAGTATGAAAAATACCATCATGCCAAAATATGGCCAAAATTTTCTTCTTGATCCTTTATTCCATAGAAGAACCAATCGACTCCAAAATGAAATATTAACCCCATAAAAATATTATATACATGTAATTGTGGACTGAAACTGAGGCTGGAGCAATAATAATTGTGCATCCATTTATGCTCTACTGGGAAAGGGTTATAGGTGGGTTCTAATTAGTGGTGGGCGTGGAGAGGTACCCGCCACTGCTATTTTGGAAAAGTAGTAGTGGCGGTAAAACATTGACGCCGACCACTTCTTTTTCGATAAAGGGCGATTTTATTATCTCAGAATGTAGCATCAAGGGGATACAAAACATTATGAGTAACACCCGACGCCGATCACTTCTATGTTGGGTGCAGATACAGGCAAGAAAAGATCCACCCGTCATTCATAAATTTGTATAAATTTAGGCATGAGATAAAAGTAGCAGTGGTGGGCAACAAATTTTGGCCCGCCACCGTTTTTTCAAGTACTAGTGACAAGCGAAAAATTTGCCCGCCACAGCAATATTTCACTGATCCGCGCAATGTTTCACAAAATTTAGTTGTGGCATGCGCCCATGAATGTCCGTCGCAGATAAAGTAAGTAAAAACAGCTTGAAATAACCATATTTATTACTAACACATGTAGTAGTTCTAAAATTTGAGCATGAAAGATCCAATGGTGTCTATTAAACATAGTAAAGGTTGGAAGTCGAAATGATGTACAAAAATTGAGTTGTTTGTGGAAGGCCGTGATTTTTGTGAGAATCCCACATACTTCACTGGATATTGTTCAGTTTGTACACGAAGTGTGTCAAGTTTTTTCCGTAGCGCTCTCTAATTTTTACCACAATCTACAGGAGTCCTATGAAGACACCATGCTAAGTCTCACTCATTTCCGAGCTCATTTGCAGATTATGTTGAACAGAAATGCGTTCTGCCCTGTTTAGTGGCCAGTAAATTAGTTAATGGTTCAAAAATAGGAAAGCAACTAAAATAGTAGCCAAATTAGAGCATGGGACTTCCAATGGTGTGTATTAAACATAGTAAAAGTTTGAAGTGGACATAATGTAGAAAATTGAGTTGTCTGGAGAAGACGGTGGTTTCTGTTTGAAACCCTGATACTTGTCGGAGAGTGTTTAGTTTATACATGAAGTGCATCAAGTTTTTGCCGTAATGCTTTCAAATTATTTCCACACCCTACGCGGGTCCTATGACAGAAACCTACCCCTTTTTGACCTGTTTGCATGTTATGTTGAACGGAAATGCGTTATGCCTTTTTAGTGGCTGGAAAATCAGTTAATGCGTAAAAAAATAGCAAACCAACTCAAAAATTTCTAAAATTTGAGCATGAGACTTCCAACGGTGTGTATTAAACATAGTAAAAGTTTGAAGTTGAAACGATGTTGATAAATTGAGTTTTCTGTCAAAGGAGGTGGTATCCGTTCAAAACCCTGATACTTCACCGGAGTGTTCCTTTTGTGCATGAAGTGCACCAAGTTTTTGCCACAACGCTCTCAAATTATTACCACACCCTATATGGGTCCTATGAAGACACCGTTCCAAGTTTTATCCCTTTCCGAGCTATGTTGAATGGAAATGCGCTCTGCCCTTTTTATTGACCAAAAAAATCACTTAATTCTTCAAAAATAGCAAACCATCTCAAAAAGTAACCAAATCTGAGCAAGACACTTCCAATGGTATTTATTAAACATAGTAAAGTTGGAAGTTGAAATGATGTAGAAAATTGAGTAGTCTATGGAAGGCGGTGGTTTCCGTACGAAACCCAGATACTTCGTAGGAGAGAGTTAAACTTGTACAAAATGTGCATCAAGTTTTTGCTGTAACACTCTCAAATTTGTACCACAACCTATAGGGGTCCTATCAAGACACCGTGCCAAGTTTCATCCCTTTCCGAGCGCGCTTGCCCATTATGTTGAACGAAAATGCTTTCTGCCCTTTTTAGTGGCTGGAAAACCAGTTACTGATACAAAAATGGCAAACCACCTCAAAATGTTCTTAAATTTGAGCATGGGACACCAAATGGTGTGCATTAAACAAAGTAAAATTTTGAAAAAATGCCCAAATTTGAGCATGTAATTTTGGACGAGAAGTAAATGATTTATCTTACAGTCACATATGTTTACCGTCTCATGCTTACATATCCCTGCATCGGCTAGATGCAACAATGTGTGGGTACGTGGATCTACACATATGCAAGGAAGCCCAGTGATGCCTACTACAGTCCGTGGCGCTTCGATCTCCACACAATAATGACTACTCCAGCAATTTTGAAGTCTTCTGCTAATGAACTTGTAAACTCATGATTATGCTTCTTGTTGATTTGCATTTGAACTTCAAAATTCATGATTGTGCTTATGAAGTTGCATTTGAACTTGGAGGTTCATGATTGTGCTCATGAACATACATTTGAACTCGGAAGTTCATGATTGTGCTCATGAATGTTAGCACTAATCTTGATGAGTTGTTAGGGCATGTACAACGGTGTCCATTCGTCCGTCTGTAGCACATGCCACATATGATATTTGTCTAGCTGGAGGGGAGAGAACGAGGAAAGAGAAGAAGGGCGTCTGCAATTCACCAGACGGTCCATAGCCCTGAAAATTCGCTAGTTATCGACGGCCTTTTTCCCATTGTATGGCTGGGCGTATGTAGTTCCCTGTTTCCAGCCAAACTGTCAAATCCCTTTCTCCAAAGATCCAATTCACAGAACATGTTTTTTTCTACGTCATCACCTACTCTGGCGAGACGTGCATGGTCGGGGGCCACTGAACTGCTGCAGTCGATAGACGGCTTGTGTGGCGAACGACGATCAAGGGATCAGCTAGCTATCATGTTAGTGTTGGCGCCGCCTCCTCGCAACGCCGCTTCTTCTTCCTCTCATCACTCTCTCTTCTCTCATGGTTTCGCACAACACAAGAACACACACGCACACATGTGAAAGCTCAAGAAAACACACACACACACACACACATACACATGTACACACACGTATATACCAGGGAAGAAAGCCAACTTGCTTTGCCGAGAGGCTCTCCTCCTTGGTCACACAAGTGCCACATCTTTTCAACTAGCCCTCACGGCCTCTCTTTACTCATTGACTGAAATGCCTATTTATACACACGGCAAGCACCCATGCCATCTAAAACTCACGCCACTACTTTGACCCACTAACTAACTACCTAGCTGCATGCACACACATGCACCACTTCTGCCATGCATGCACACACAACGGCCAGCCACACACATTGGCTTGGTCCGGCTATTACTCAACTGACTAACAGCACACACACACGTCCTGGCTTGAGTCGCTTCCAAGTTTCTGTAGGCCTCTAGCTGAATTTGCGCATGCCACAACTAATGCGTCCGATTTTTGCCCCATCTCCACCTGCACGCAACTCGGCCATCGGACTCCCAGAGCTTTACCGCATGCATCTAACTAACATGCATAGTTAGTTTTGCCATGTGCACGTGAACACAACCTGACGTGCACACACAGTCACAGCTCAACTACAAGCATGATATAAACATATCTAGTCGTATGCACTAATAACAAGATTAGTTCTAACAGCTAGACGTCTATGCACATGTGACATGTCCAAGTATAATTGATTAGATGCACGTTCCTCGATCTGCAGCGACGGTGGCGGTCCGGCTATGCAGAGCTGCGATTTCCCAATGCACACCTTTTTCCTGGGATCTGGGATGCATCACGCTGGACTGCCACGCTGACGCCGCGTCAGTTTCTTCACGTTCTGGAGCGGTGGCTGATGGAGGTGGATAACTGGAATAAATTTCACTGTAAGGTCATAATTTTATAGGGCTATAGACAGGAAAAAGACAGTCCATCTAAACTAATGTATGGTGTGAGTGTATGCGAATGCACGCAGGTAGTGGGCGAGTGTGGCGCCTGGCCGCGTGTGTGTGTGAGTTATTTAATCGACTGTAATCACGTTTGCTTAAGTTAAGAGAAATACAGAGAAAATGCCGGCTGTGTGGGTAGCGGCACCGGCACCAATCCTCCTGTGTTCTTCTTGTCCGCGAGTGCACTGTGAGGAAGCAGCCGCGAGGAAGAAGAAGAGGAGCTGAGCATCGGCTCCAACAATGAACTTGCATTTGAACGTTGAAACACATGATTCTTCTTATGAACTTACAGTTCAACTTTGGAACTCAAGGTTGTGCTAATGAACTTGCATTTGAACTTTGAAACTTATGGTTGTGCTAATGACCTTACATTTGAACTTTGAAACTCATGGTTGTGCTAAGGAACTTGCATTTGAACTTTGAAACTCATGGTTGTGCTAATTAACTTGTAGGTTTGCATCACGGACGGTGGAGCTCATCGCATTTGTTGGAGTGTATGTTGATGCATGTGCTTGTTGGTCTAAATTTGTGTTCATCTTGTGAACCAATGTTGCACATACTTGTATATTTTACTTGTATGCTTGTTACGCTACCTGTGCCTTTGAACCATTTTGGATCTATATGATTTTTAAATACTTATATGATACTTCTTTTATGGACTCACTAGCTGATTGCCTGTGCGCTGCCACGGGAAGAATTAATATCATAATTGTTTTTTCTATTTTTCACGATGTATTCAGAAATATGGTGTCTTCCTCCGTCCTATTTGGCAACCTCCACATCTCCCTTGGAGGTCAAAAAACCTACATATATGCTGATTAATCAACTTTCATTTTCCCGTAAAACTGTGGGAAGAGTATGTTAGATATAATCTTGATGTCTTCTGTATCTGCATTTTACTTTCAGTTCTGCATGTAGTAGTGTGTCTGTGCAGAGGTACGTGCGAGGCGTACACCTGATGGTTCAGTTTGAAGAGCATGCATGGTTAGACTCCAACGTGCAGTGAGAAGCTGCTGCATGCAAAGATCTGAAGCTAACGGGCTGCACAAGTTATCTAGGAAGTTGTTATGTATGCATGTGTTAGTGCCATAACAATAGGTGATGGATTAGTTGGTTAGTGGAGTAGGTCGTGAGTATGTCTGGTCAAGAGAATAGAGAAGAAAACTTTTGGCTGCGTGATACAGCGCAATGGCAAAACTCTTTGCATCTTTTATCAGCTGTGTGACACAGCAGAAGGAGAGAGAGTTTCAGGGAGCTAAGAGAGTCGGCTTCAACATTTGGTATCAGAGCCAGATGATGACGAAGATGATGCCACGTGACTCTTCAGCGAGTGGAGAGTTGGTGCAGAGCGACTCGGCGGCAATGGCGGCTGCCGCGACGGCGGCGACCACGGTGGTGGGGAAGCTCCTATTCCCGCTGCTCACGAGGACGAACTACGCGGCATGGGCGATGAGGATGAAGTACCTCTTGCGCGCCAACAACGCGTGGGGTGCCATTGATCGCGAGGCCTCATCGAAGGTCGACAAGGGAAAGGAGGAGATGGCCATGACGATCATCTCCCAGTCCATCGACGACTCAACGCTGCTGCGAGTAGTGGAGAAGGAGACCGCAACCGATGTGTGGGCGGTGCTACGCTCCATGCATGTGGGCGTCAAGCGCGTCCGGGAGGCGAGGGTTCAATCCTTGTGCTCGGAATTTGATGGCCTCAACATGGGTCATGCGGAGTCCGTGGATGATTTCGCGGTGAGGTTCACGAGCTCTAGGGGCTCATCCGTGAGCTTGGTGATGGGATGGAGGAGAAGTACGTAGTGAAGAAGCTACTCCGAGCCGTCTCCAACAAGTTCATCCATGTTGCATCATTGATTGCATTGTTCGGCGACACCAACAAGATGGCCATGGAGGAGGCCATTGGTTCACTCAAGGCGCACGAGGAGCTCGTCAAGGGGCGGGAGACGGCACGTCAAGAAGAGCAGCTCCTCGTGGCGAGAGGGCATGACTCATCACGAGGATGCGACCGTGGTGGCCATGGCTGTGGCCGCGGACATGGCCGTGGTGGAGGGCGCAGAGACAAGAGAGAGGTACATTGCTATAACTGTGATGACTTTGGACATTTTGCTTGGGAGTGTCCAGAGAAAAAGGAGAACGAGGAGAAGGCACTGCTGGCCGGGTACGGCAGCGATGGACGGGCTCTTCTTTGAAGTCTCTGCGTGAAGAATGGACATCAAGATTAGGGGGTTGAATGTTAGATATAATCTTGATGTCTTCTGTATCTGCATTTTACTTTCAGTTCTGCATATAGTAGTATGTCTGTGCAGAGGTACGTGTGAGGCGTACACCTGATGGTTTAGTTTGAAGAGCATGCATGGTGAGACTCCAACGTGCAATGAGAAGCTGCTGCATGCAAAGATCTGAAGCTAACGGGCTGCACAAGTTATCTAGGAAGTTGTTATGCACGCGTGTGTTAGTGCCATAAGAATAGGTGATGGATTAGTTGGTTAGTAGAGCAGGTCGTGAGTTTGTCTGGTCAAGAGAATAGAGAAAAAAACTTCTGGCTGTGTGATACAGCGCAAGGCCAAAACTCTTTGCATCTTTTATCAGCTGTGTGATGCAGCAGAGGGAGAGAGAGTTTCAGGGAGCTGAGAGAGTCGGATCCAACAGAGTAATGTGCATGCAATGTTCAACCACATCACTACATGAAATCTTGTTTTTCTCTCCCGATCTTTCGCTATATCACGCCTCCCATTCTTCTTTCTCTCTGATTTAATGCCATCCCACTCCATTGTGTCTCCATCGCCAACTTTGTGTTTTATCAAAGATGGAAATTTCCGTCCTTAATATGGATAATGAAGGTCAGGCCAAGCATCGTCTATTCTGTTACGGAGGTAGTAATTCCAAAAATGATGTTTCAATTAACGACAATACCATGAGTGTTGCTGCCTTGCTGCACTTGTCTGCAGCGCAACGTACGTCAGCTAAAGAGAGTCTAAACCACTTTCTGATGAGGTTCCCACCGTTGCCGCTCTTCTTGACACGGATATCGTTGTTGGCATATAGATGCCGCTTGTACAACCACATCAGAGCATGTGTTACTTTTGCTGCTCCTCTGCATGAGCTCCCCTTGAAATTGACAACATGGTCGTCTACTGTCCCCTGTGGGCAGTGTAGAAGAGCAGCACCACAATAATCTTTCACAGCTTATGCTCGCATGAGCCCAGTTCTAGTTCATTCCCTCCGGAGCACTGTCATCACGTCCCGGTCTATGCTTGGTGCTGCACGTTGCTGATGTTCATTAAAAGGAATTAGGCTGACGCCATCATATAATACACAAAAAGGAGTACTATTGAAGCTTGAAGAACATACCACCATTGGAATTATGATGCTTCTTCTTGGACTCATCATTCATAACACTGGGATCGTGAAAGATCGAGATAATAATCCAGTAAATTTGAGATGCAGGATGAATTCCTATATGTATCATCGGAGATGCTAACCTTTATTGTTTCAACTTATTGCACGTCTCAATGACTCAACGTTGCTTTAGAGCCTTACAAAATAATACGAGGAACAAATTCACAATAGACAAAACCTCTTGGAAGCAAATATAAAGAAAGTAGAAAGCATATTTTCCTAATGTGCCTTCTAATAAAAGGTTCAGTATGTTGTCAACGCCATGTAGATTTCTTTACCATGAAAGTAAAATGAGCAATTGTATTCATGGTATATACGTGCAAAATTGATGCATGATACTGAGAATGATGAAAAAAAATGCATACATGTCTGACAGAAAGGATCAAATGTTATCTCTTGTCCATTCACCATCTACCAGCTGTCTGGACCCCGATCCAAAGTCACACCTATCTAGCATACAACACATATATCACTTTGCGGCCTCACACACGGAAACCCACATCTATCGCCTTTACCTTGGCCGGGACCGTTTACGACTTTTGGATCACGTATATGACTGTATTGCTAGCATCCATATGATAGAGAACGCGAGTCGATATGACTAGTCATAAGCCACGGTGGCACAAATGTACAGGGACAGGCATACATAACCACTACTAGGGAAAACAATAGTAGTAGCGCTTGTAATGTGCATAGCAGTAGCGTTGGTACCAGCGCTACTGCTATCGCGCTACAGCTAACATGTAGCAGTAGCGCTGTTTGACCAGCGCTACTGCTATACCTAGTTAGCAGTAGCGCGGTTGCTTGAAAAGCGCTGCTGATAGTAGTAAGTAGCAGTAGCGTTTCTTTTGAAAAGCGCTACTGCTTATTTTTCCTGTATTTTTTTAATTGCAGCTTATTTTCGCTGTATTTGTATATGTTTTATATATAGTATTTTTATCATATGATTTTATCACCATGATTAGTTAGTATATATACAATAGTGGGTGAAATGAATGTTGATTAGGTTCAAGTGGATAATCAACATTCATTTCACCCACTGTTGTATATACTAACTAATCATCATCATAGTCATTACCACCGACCATAGTCATAGTATAGCACATCTTTATCTTCAAACTCATTCTAGCTATCTAATCACCACCAACATTAGGTATGGTAGCTATCTAATCACCACCAACACTAGCTAATAATAATAATCATAGTCATTATCATCAAACACTAGCTATTTAATCATCATAGTCATAGTGTAGCACATCATAATCTTCAAACTCATTCTAGCTAGCTAATCACTCATTCTGCTCTCTCTCAGGTAAAATAGCCACTAGTAGAAAACAGGGCTAACGTTCGGGCCTGGCCAGCCCAAGAACCGGGACCCATGGGGGGTATTAGACCCGGTTCGTGAGCCCAGGGGGCTGGCCGGGGCCTCGTGGGCATTTGTACTGGTTCGTATGGAACCATTTGTCCCGGTTCAAGCCACGAACCGGGACTAATGGTCCTCGCTTCTGGCCCACAACCATTGGTCCCGGTTCGTGGCTTGAACCGGGACAGAAGGGGGGGCTTTAGTCCCGGTTCATGCCACGAACCGGGACAAATAACTTGCCTATATATACCCACCGCCGCGGTAGAGCACTCCAGAGTGCTCTGTTTTGTCAAGCCAGCGAGGGGAGGGCATTTGGGTGCTCTAGTTCACCTCTTTTGCACATGAGGTGTTCGATGAAATGCCCGAGCCACACTAGTTAAGCTTTCTCCTCTCGAAACTTGACCTCCGAGCTCCATTTTCAACGAGATTTGTCTAGATTTAGCGGTCCGTCCCCGCCCCGTCTTCACCGTCGTCGATCGCCCGCGCCGATCTCGTCGCCGGCACCACCATGATGAGCCTCTTGTTCTTATCTTCTTTCTGAAAGAAAAAATTCTGACTTCAGATAGATACTTGTCTAATTTTCTTACTTTTATTATTCCTTGTTATTATATAGTGCGATGGTTTTGGTATCCTCCCCCGTCGGCCCTCGTCCTGTCTATGATTCGGATATGGTATATATTATCTTTTCATAACTATTTGGTTCATTTATTGTTTATGACAATTATGCCGACCAATGTGACACAAATTTTATTTGTTTAGGAGGTTGTTGAACTGGAAATTCCAACCGACCCTATTGTCGAGAGGTTATATTTAGTTGAAGAAGAAAACAATTACTTGAAGGAAAAAATAAGAAAAATTGAGGAGGAGAAGATGATATTGGAGTTGCATGTTGCGGATGTCGTCGATGATCACAAGATCAAGATGGATGTAATGCGGTTGAAGATTAAAAAGATTAGAAAATACGCCATTCATACCGAGGCTTGGTATCATTATGCAGTTGGATCAGTTGTTACCTTGGTTGCGATTATGATCGCATTTGTTGTTGCATTGAAATGTTTTACATAATTTCAATGTATGGTTTAATTAGATGCTCTGGAGAGCTATATGTTGTTCAATGAAAACTATGTATGTACTTTGGTTTTAATGCTCTAGAGAACTATGTATGTACTTTGGTTTCAGAGTTCATTTCAAATGCTTTTCAACTTCATGGTCTTATAGCTCAAAATAACCAGTAAATGCATGAAAAATAACAAATGTAGTCAGAAAGGTTGTAAATTGATGATGTGGCTTTGAATGGTGCATTTTGAATACAGAAAAACAATGGAGTTCAAATAAGTTCAAAAAAATGAAATCCCTTTGTAACAGACGAGTTTTCGTATGAAACCCTGATACTTTGAAATAGATTGTCCGTTTTGTACACGAAGTGCATCCAGTTTTTGCCGTAACCCTCTCTACTTTATCGCACATGCTATGTGGGTAAAATGATGATACCATGCCAACTTGGAACCTTTTCAGAGTTCATTTCAAATGCTTTTCAACTTCATGATCTTATAGCTCAAAATAATCAGTAAATGCATGAAAAATAACAAATGTAGTCAGAAAGGGTTGTAAATTGATGATGTGGCTTTGAATGGTGCATTTTGAACATAGAAAAACAATGGAGTTCAAATAAGTTCAAAAAATGAAATCCCTTTGTAACTCTGATACTTCGAAATAGATTGTCCGTTTTGTACACGAAGTGTATCCAGTTTTTGCCATAATCCTCTTTACTTTCTTGCACATGCTATGCGGGTGAAATGATGATACCATGCCAACTTGGAACCTTTCCAGAGTTCATTTCAAATGCTTTTCAGTTTCATGGTCTTATAGCTCAAAATAATCAGTAAATGCATGAAAAATAACAAATGAAGTCAGAAACAAAATAGAATAAAATAAATAAGTAATTTGAAACAAATAATATAAACTTTAATAAAATAGATAAGTAGAAACAAAAAAAACTTTAATAACATAAATAAAATTTATGAAACTAAAATTATCA